TTTCTATATTTTGTACTTATATTGAAGTTCTTGTGTTTGCTTCTAAACTGTACATATGTTGTTTAAATTTGATATAATATGGCTACCGCCACATTTTTGGATTGATGCAGTGGCCGCTGGACTTAGCGTCACTGTGTCTGATACTCTGCGGAGTAACTTTACCCTGGAAGAAGCACTATTTCCAGGCAATGCTTTGTATTTCCATTTTTTAATTAATACGGACGCTTTCTCCTGGAATTTTGTCCTTTTTGAATTGGTTGGACCCGGAACTGGGAAAAGCGTACAGGAGTGCCTCTATTGGAACCCATTGGAACGGCCACTGTAGAAATTCATTTACACTTGGAGAGTGTTAAAACCCTTTCATATCTTGGCAGCATCATCGACAACTAAGGTGGATCCGATGCAGACGTCAGGGCGCGGATCGGCAAAGCAAGGGCTGCATTTCTACAATTGAAAAATATCTGGAACTCCAAACAACTATCGATTAACATCAACATCAAGATTTTTAATACAGATGTCAAGACAGTTCTACTGGATGGTGAGGAAACGTGGAGATGAAGGCCTAGAAACACATTACACAGAGAAATAGAGACAGATATGAGAAGAATGAACGAAAATTGGACAGAATTGGAAAGGGAAGCCCAGGGCAGAGTTGGTTGTTGAACACAGGTGGCCTATGCTCCCTTTTGGGGTATCAGCAGTAGGTAAGTAAGTAACATGGGCATAGGTCGCTTTGTCAGACTCAGATGATTCATTATGGTCGAAGATAGGGAGCGATATAATGACCAAAGCAGTTGATAAATGTTGTGTGGTAGTGATTTTTAGAACCTGTTTTTAATGATCTATTAAGTAACTAAGTTATCAGACATATACATTCTTCCCACCACAAGCTTTCTAATAACCCATAATTTACAATCACAAGATTAATAGTTCGTAGTTTGCTGACAGTTTATTATTTCAATTTTCCCGCCACTCATACCACTTTAGGCTTATTCATAGTTGTCAGTTTCACTTACTGATGCGAGGAGTTCTGTTTTTTATCTATATGAGGGAGTTTCGGGCTAGTGTTCACTGGCATTTGTTCTTACACTTCATTTGGGGCTACTTAGTACTGTGTCAATCTCCAAGCATGGAGTAGCGAGTCCCTTGTCCTTGCATAATGATTAATATAAAGGTCATCTACATGTTGGTTAGTGTAAGAACTTATCAGTAAGTTAGACTTACGTCTCTTGCATATCAGAGAATGGTGCAAGTTTCAACTGTCCCTACCACATATTGGATGATGATTTATAAAATCGGCTGCTAATTCCCGAAGCAATCTAGCTTCGGACACATCCAGGGATCTCCGTTTATTTGTGTGGGACTGTCATATCTGAAGGACACTGTAAATAGATCCTCAGAATTGAATGAGATAGTCACGGTGGACCATTAAATTTAGTAAATGATAAGCAAACCAATAGACAGAAAGTCACAAAGGAAAACAACAGTTTGCAAAACAGACATTTTTAAGGACCTCTGCAAAGTGTCAGTTTAAGACTTCTTCCTCAACGCACCACACTAAAAGATGGAGGATTATGTCGGAGCTTTATCTGCACGTTGTAATAAGTTTGTTCTTTGGATGAAATATTTTTATGTTGATGGAATGTAGTTGGCCGACTCTTAACCATCTATCTTTGGCTTTAACGGGTTTATATAAGCTTTTCGTAATCGAATTCAAATTGGGTCCAGATATTCTTAGGGTAGGCCGGCTTTTTAAAAGTTTCTCTGTCAAAAGAAATCTACTTCGCAGATGCTGAATGGATCTGCGATCTGTGATTTAATAATTGCAATGATGGGGCTCAACATCGTAGTGGGCGCAGTAAACCCTCAGAAACATGGCTTGAAGGACGTAGCTCTAGGTATTTACTGGTTTATTTGATCGTATTGGTTATCGGTCTGCTGTTAAGGAATCCATAATCTCGCGGAAGCACAAGCCTCATAGTAACCCAAGTTAGATATTGGGCTATCAGAAATATCTTATGATCCTATCAGATGTGGTCTGCAGTACAAAGTTTCTGCTCCGAACTAGTAATTAGCCAACAGTAGTGATACTAATTACTTCTATTTGTGGGGACAAGTGATCACGTGGTTATCTTATTCAAGAAACTCAACAATTAGTACCGTGGACAGCCCCGATGAAGGAAAACTAGACCTTCTTTTGTCAGAACGAGAGACGCGATGCATACTGAGACAAAAGCTAAAGTGCTGTAACGCCTGAATTAGCTTTAACAGCAAGTGTGATGGAATTTCGCATGTGGACTAGGAATAAGTGCATAAAAACAATTCGTGCAATGTAGCTGACTTACCAAAGCTATTTACCACAATTTGTAATGGAGACGCATCTACATTTAAAGGCGATCTAAATGTCCTATTCATTTGGTCTAAAATATGTTTAATGCATTTTAACGCAGCCAGGCGTATTTATGTGGATATTGGGTATATAAAAGCAAACAAATACGGCACAGGAGAAGCCTATATTCCTTTAGTATTAAATGACAAGAATTTAAGGTTAATAATGTTCAGAGAACCTAAGAGCTTTGAGACGGAAGCTCAGAAATTCGAGTACAAGTATGCTCACTACGATAGACGTAATCTTAATGTGATCCTACAGCGAAATCTATATTCGTACCGTAAGCCTCTGTTTCAAAGCCGACTCAACTACCATAAAAATTGCTGAAGACAAATGATTGCACAATTCCGGATTTTCCAAATTCACCACAAACTCTACAGCTGGGAAGGTAAAGTCCTTTACCTTGGGTTAAGAAAGGAATTTGATTCTGAAGTATGAAATACTAACAAACGTTTTTGGTACATATATATCCTCTGTTTTCTACCTATTGGGTCAAGGTTACAAAAACAACGTAGCAGGCGAGTTCAAAAGCCTGGAACGAATAACAAAATTTTAGCGTACTGGTGTTGGCACCAAGTCATAGATCTTCTTAGGTTCTATTGTTCAATACACTGATGTACGCACACTCTAGCACCTCCTACAAGAAATGTCTAGAAAGTCACGGAAGCTTATTAGGAAAGAACTGAAATTTAGGCGTCAGCATGTAAATTTGATGAGAACTCTCCTCTTCAATGCTGTACTACATCCGAAGAAAAATACCTTTAATGTTGATCACGCATAGAAACTATAGGCAATATAGTGACTGGACTCACTGCCACTTCTGTTAAAGTAGGTTCAGATAGCAATGATGCAGACCACTGTTTAAAACTATGTGGAGACTAAATCAAGAGCTAGGTAAAAAACTGTCCTCCAGAAACCAAGTGGAGGTCGTTATAGTTTAGTTATTTTCTATTTCTACTGAATAAAGTTCAATATTCAAACTTTCTGATTCGAAATGTGAAGTACGGAAATGTGTTCAGATATTAGATTTCTTTCGCATATTTCATAAAAGAAGATTGAATTAAACTCATAATTAGCGCTCTTGGCGCTGTATGGGTTTTGAAGTATCTTTTTATCATATTTTACATCATCTTTCACTAGTATTACATATTTTCTTTGTTTATGTACGCTTGCTCGATGTCTTTTTTGAGCAAGGTTTGCTGATTTGTTGATGTTCTGTTACATTAACCTTCACTTGAGGAAACCATAGTCTCAGTACAGTCTTATAGTTACTACAGTAATGTTATGATTTTCGACGTTTTATAGTTAGCTAATTGAAATTTCTGATTAGCATGGTCATCGATTCGGCAGGCCACTATACTTCTTCCCTGTTGATGATGGTGCAAAGTGTGGTGAGTTTAAGAGATAGTTTGTAATCTTTTACTGCCTACGTATCAGAATCGTTGCGAACCGGCCTCACAACGATAATAACAATAGTAATAATATCTTACCAATGCGATTCTTCTGGATAAAACCTAGAGACTTCTCACTTCGATGACGAAGTCAACGAGTGATAACATCCATTCAGTTGGTCTGATATCAGAGGGATAGAAAGGAACAATCATAGTCACTAGTGCCTCTAGTTCAGCAGTCGTTTTCGACTAAGAGGCTGAGACACCAATTGTGGACATAGTTAAACATTAAACGACTCCTGTCCAGTGCATTGTTGCACGTGACTGCTATAAATGGTGAGGCATCATGAAAGTAAAACTACTGTTCATCAAAAGCTTATCCACCCCTAGTACTGTGAACGGGGCTAGCGCAACTTTAGGATATAGAGTGAGCAAAACTCACTCGAATGAGTAGCCAGATAACATAAATGAATAGATTTGTTCAAAATTTCAAAACAAACAATAAACTGAAGCGAAACACTCGGCACTTAAAGGGAGTGGAACGAAAACTCAACGGAAATCGGTTCTCGTCTAAGTTATTTGGAATCAAGATTAGTCTAAAGTGAGTCTACTAAGAGACATAATTGATTTGGAGTTAGTGTAGTCTGTCATCAAGATTGTATTACCGATAGGGTTTTAGGAATCAATACTACTAAGCTAATAAGTCACAGTAGGTAGGCGCTAAAAATTAAGAATGAAATGAAGAAACAAGCACTGAATGCGCAGATTTTGGACAATCATGTTTTGGAGAACAAATGCTTGAGAGACCTTTTATGGTCACTTTGCAGACCATCTAAATGCATTGGCCATAATGTTACGGGTTTTATGAGTCGTCTGCGTTAAGCCTCATCTAAGGTATTCATTAAAATGGTTGCCCAATGCCTGACTGAAGATGATATCACACTTGAGCATGTTCAGCGTGTAGGAACTAACTTAATGACGGGTTTGTAGGAATTCCCCTGCAATATGACCTTAAGATGCCTAAATCTCCTCACTTATCGTATAACGCGAGTTTATCATGCCAAACTCCTGAAACCATATCGAAGAAAAGAATCTGGTGCAAGGAAATCAATAAGTTTACACTAGTTTAAAGGAAAGGTATTGGGTATTGGTAGTTGTTTAAACGCTCTTCTTTAAGATACTTGCTAAAGTCATAGAAACTGTGAATTTTTGAAAAAGACATGGCTGTCCCTTTTTCCAATACAACATTAAGAGTTCCACATGGTTTTCCAAATTTATTGGAAGGTTTCGCGAGGGAAGTTCTGAGAAAACAACCAAAAGATATCCATAGTTTCGGTGCTACATATTTCGAAGAGTTACTTCGAAAAAGAGAAGGTATTGCAGTTAAACTGATAATTAACTTATATTAAGAAACAAAGACTGAAGATGTGGCTCAAATTGGTGCAAAACTTGATGATCGGTATTATAACAGCAAAGCGTTCTATGTAAGCAGTGTTCTTTGTTTCTTAGATTGGAATACGAATATTACGTAAAACATTTTATTAAAGTTGGTGAATATAATGTCACTGCTCTCTCTGAACCTGATGTACATGTAGTTTTAGGCTTCAACTTCTGTTTTGAATGCAGCACATCTAATGCTGCTCTAACTTAGTTCATTCCTGGCCAACTGTTTCAGATTACTGCCTCAGAGTAAGCTTACGTTCCGACTTAAAATTCTTCATGTCCTCGAATTTGCAGTCTGTCTTAAAACAGCTAATTTAAAATCTGCATACAGATTCTTACGTGTTTGACAGAACCTTTTGTGTTTATAAAGGGGTAAACATGATACCTTGTTTGGCAAACTGAATTTTCAGTTCGGATATTAAACCATAAAAGGAATGCAAAAAAGAAAACATGTTTTACTCATAGGTTTGACGTTTAATATTAGATTATAGTGTAACTCGAGTTGCTACAAACTGACAGCAACGCGAATAACTTTTTGGTTTAGAAATATATATCATGAAAATTTGTTAGTTGTCGATAATATAAGTCAAGGATATGTTTTGTGTTTGGATAAATTACAGTCACGACTTTTTCCCTGATTTTGTAATTGATATTGGGGGACTGTGGATTAAATGACACAACTAAGAGGACGATAGATAACAATCAAAATAAACCAAAATGATGCTTGAATATCTGTTAGTTGACAGTTTGTACTTGTAAAGTAGAACGTGGTACTTACGTACATCATTTCAAACCCGTAACAGTAGAGTCAGTGGTATTATTAAAACTGAAAATCTGCTAGATAAATTCTAAAAAGTTAAGAAGGTCATGAAAATTCTGAAGCTTATAATTTTGGAGGAAGACAAATTATAGATGCGCTTATGCTACTACGAATGATTTTGAGCCATATCGTTCAATGTCTCTAACCACTGGTTAGGATCGTCTCTTGGACGCCAGCTAGGTGGTCTACACTTACTAACATGGATCAGTCAGATTTTCAATGAATTCATGGATTAGAGCCATGTTTTGGTTAGCCCCCTAGCTTTCTTCCAGCCTACCGCTAAACTCGACAGAACCTCTTATTAAGGCAGTCGGTGTTTGGGTATGTCCATATGTTCAAACCACCTTAGTCGATGAAGATTCACTACTTCATCAATTGACCTGCTATCTTTATCCAGTACTATTTTTATGAGTTATTTACAATCAGGTTTTTACGTTACTCCATTTGATCGGATCAATCAGTGAACGATATGAGAATTTTTTAATCTGTTTCTGAACAGATTAGTGAAGACTTTACTGTATAAATCATTGATCATTCATCTTTTAAGTGGTGTTCATAAATAATAAAAATGTGTCTATTTAATAGTAGAAGTACTACCATTTACTTTTTATAGGTATCTTTTAAACTATCCATTGAGTTTCTTTATAAAATACAATGCTAAGTAAAGTGAGTATATTTCTGCTTTTTCAATTAATTGTTTTGATTAACGGAGTGAGACATGAAATATTATTGGATGATTTTTAATACAGTTTCAGGAGTACTCACTTTGATTCTCACTGACTTCAGCCAAATCGAGTGATGATAAAATGAAAAGTTAATAATAACTTATACAGATTTGTTTATTAAACAAATGGCTTCATCTTTTTTACCTCTGTACATTTCAAACAGAATGGCTCTTTCTTTAAATAATCTTTTAAATGTTTTTTCCCACTCCACAAAAATAACTACCAGAGTGGTGCGTGTAGCATTAATAATCCTGAACATCAAGAAGCTGCTGTACGCATTCAAGCAGAATATCGTAGACATTTAGCTAGTCAAGAGACTGAACATTTACGTGAAGAAGATGCAGCAATCAAAATTCAAGCAGGTTATCGCGGCTACAGGGATAGGAAATTAGTTCATATAATGTAAGTTTTTTTTAAGATATGTGCATGATTATTTTATTTTAACATATAAACATAGGTACGAAAAGGTACCTTAAATTTATGAGCCACAGAAATTATTCAATTTACGAGTGAACTTGGATGCTGCCTCCTAGCCATACCTAGATTAGGCTACCTTCTCAGAAGGTCATTTCTCAAGCCTTGAACCTGAAAGTCTAATCTACGAAGCAGTGGAGCAACGTAAGGAGCTGGAATCCCATGATAGCTGGTGACCAAAGCCTGTTTATACGCCATTCGTTCCATCAGGATACTTGAGCCCATGTGCACAGATGATTCGGAATCAGGGTTTTCCAACTTTCCTAGCTGAATCCTCCATATCCAACAACTCAGTTAAAGCCCTTACCCAACGTTCGCTTTTCGTCTTATCAGTTTCATGAACAACACTCGTACCTCGAGGAGGCAAAGAATAGGACGTGCGCGGCAGTGGCTGTACACGCGTGATCAGAATAGAGCATTTCGAGAGGGAGAGAATACTCTCTTCATTCTTAGTCGTACTAGGTCACTTGGAGACCTATGTCAATTAATGTTTTTTCAGCTGAAAACTTCTAGTTATCACAAAAATTTGGTACACATTTGAGTTAGTGTTTTATGTAAGTGAATTGTCTTTAAAATTATGACAACAGTTCAAAAGTCACGACTTTTGACAAATAGTTCATATTGGAAGTATAAAACAACTTTCTTCCAACCATATTTTGGTCTCAACCCAAACCGTACATTGTTTTATATTTTTAATTTAAGTTACTGTAGTATTATTTAAGTAGATTGTTCCTACTAACAAAATAAAATTTTTTCACTGTTCGTTATCTTCTTATATACCAGAGAGTGAAAATAGATCTTACTTAAAAAGATCACATAAATTAGAAGTTGCAATATATTATAAGTTTAAATGTTTTAACAATATATTGTGCAAAATCAAACTAACTTTCACCAAAAATTGCACTTTTTTCATTAGAGTTATAGGACTTATTGTTTTCCACTAAAATCGTGTGTTAAAAATTGTTAGACCAACATTAGATACCGAGACTTCTAGATTTCTAATGGTGGTCTAACAGTAATTAACTGACGAATTTATTGTAAAACAACAGTCTCCATTACTCTTTAATGAAAAATCATAAGACGTGCTCACTAGTGACTAGCTTAGTCAGGCAATTCTCGAAGTTCTTCTAGTGACAAGACGTGACCCTTATAGTTAGTTCATCACTGTCATATTTAGGCAGTAACTACCAAATAAATTGGTTGAGGTTGAGCAATACCTTGGATTGACCTAAGTTAAATATTACCACTGTTGGATGCCTGCTCAATGGCCTAGAGGTTAGGCGCCCACGCGCTAGATGCAGGTCCTGGATTAGATTCTGAGATGTATAGGTCATAGATGAGCACTTCTGATGAGTCTCATACTAGGACGAAACGGCAGTCCAGTACTTCGGGGTTTCTGATGGTGGTCTTACAATGATTGATTTACGATTTCAACCTTATCAATATGGGAAAGATTAAGAAGAACAAGGAAACATCAAACAGCAGTTTTGATTGATATTGTAACTTCTCATCTTTCTTGGTAATTATTTTTGGCTACAGGTACTACTTCATCCACGACAATATTACATTCACATAACACTGATATTCATTAAAATCTCTCTTGGAAACTAAGTACCACATAGGATTCTATGTTTAACAACTTTTCAGTTTTGTTATAATTCTCTTTAATTGTATAATTCTCAGCATCAGTAAATGATACTAAGAGTATTCATTGATTTTTGTTATTTAGGAAAGGAGAAGAACCTGATATGGATTATTATATTAGAAAACAAATAAAGAAGGAAGAAGATGTAAGTTATTACATGTTGTATACAAATGAATTTCTTATGATTTGTTCAAATTGATTTGATGATGATTGTTGTTTGAAAAAAAATTTCCGTTGTGCTGATATGTTCTGAAAAGTTTCAGCATCATCGCTGCTCAAAGTAACGCAACTGACATTCTCAAATAATATGCGCAAAATATCTGATCAGTCCTAGATATTATTAAAATTGATGAGGGTTTGTGAAGTTTGCTTACCTTTTTTTACTGACGATTGGAATTCCGCTAGCTAACTGAACTAATTTCAGCTAATATATTCTCTATATATATGCTTGAAAGTCTCTAAGTTTAATCTCTGGTTTGTTTTTTTTGAGTACTGTTATAATGCTGCTATGTAGCTAATCAAACTCCTACCGATTGACCAAATTCAGATATCCTAGTACGATCCCTAATACTGTTCTTAAATCTCCAATATACCAGAACGCAACACTGTCAGATGAAGCAGTTTATAGTGGTTAAGTACAGAAGGATTGAAGAAATAATAAGCTTTACAGATAATGCATATATACATATTTATACACTATTCAAATAGGGTTCCAGTTTTCTTGCCGTCAGAGAGATGATACAAGAACCGTGACAAAGTCTAGGACTGGGTGTTTATGCTGACCAATTACTTACTTATTTACTCACTCCTATTAACTAACCGTCAAACAGTGAATTAGTTTTCCGGTTAGCGTTTTTTTAGCGAGTTGAATTTCTACGGGGTCTATAACCCTATGCTTAACCCTCCTACTTTATCTAGGCCAGGGACCGGCAGTAAGCGTAGAAGGGTTCCAGGTGGAGGCATGCTGACGAATTAACTGACAGGAAACTTTGATCACTGAATAATAATATCTCCGAACCAATGACAATAATTCCTTATAATTTTGAAATATAAACTACTGAAAATCCAGTGATCTTGTTTCTGGTAATATAATAAGTCAGTATGTACATACTGATCGTACGAATAATATTCCAAGAATCGGCAAAACGTTTCAACTAAATACTGTAAGGGATTCCTCAGTGATAGGCTTATTATCATCATTTGACCAAATCAATAACTAAATAAATTACTTTGAAAAACAAATGCTAATTGCATATATCTTGATACTAGAAATATAATTTAATTTAAAATTGTGTATTAAGCCGACAAAATCATAAAGTTTAAACTGCAGTTAATTACTTTTATTTTATGCGCATCTATTTTTACACACACACGCGCAATTGCATCCATAAATAAACTGAAATAAAAATTTAATTATCAGTTAAAAGCATTTTTAATTACATTTTTCGTATCTTCCGTGTTGTGTGTACAACCAACGTATTATATTATTATTCCTTCAGTTCCGTCAAGGGATATAAGTTGACAAGCAAGTGGAGATTAATTTTCGTTGATAATATATACACACTTACTGTGTGTATAATAAGTAGTATAGTTTGGTTAAACAAATATTTCGTTTAGAATGGCTGATCTGTGATTGGCTGTTTAAAAATTTGTTTTTTTTTTAAATACATTTTTTAATCATTTTTAACCAATCAAAAATAAGCATTCATAATATTTTCTACAATTAATATATTTCTGGTTAAAAATTTTAGTCATCATTATTATTTACACACCTTTCAATTCGTCGTACGTATGTTCAATACTTTTTTTTTCTCTAGTGTTTAAATTTATACTCATTATTCTTGTCAAACATTTATACATTTTTTAAATTGGATAGTTGAATTTTTTTGTCTAAGGTATCGTTTGATCGTCAAAGTACATCCCGTAGATCAGTTCTTTTTTTTATGAAAAATAGTTTAGTAGAGTAATTCATTAAAAAAATTTTTTCGGAAGATTTATTGTCATCACAAAATGTTGGTTCATTTGAAAATCCAGTGAGAAAAACGCTTTTTTTCATAGAACAATGCGAAGACTGAATTGATCTGAAAAATGTGATGTATTTCTTGCTATACATATTTTGAACAATCTGGTCATAACAATGTACACTTGTCAAGGCATTTTATATGAAAATTAATAAAAGGTCAATTAAATAACAGTTCAAATAGACATAAAGTGATCATTGTGAATGAAGCAGAGAGAAATTTCACCTAAAATGGAAAGAATATGAAAGGGCCATACAATGGCTACACAATTATCAGGGTATAAATTCAAGGCTTTTCAGATCAATTTTACGTCTTCTCATTGTTAAATCGAAATTCATAAAAGGGGACTAACTGTTTTGAAAAAAAACCATTGAAAAGTTTTGTTTCATTCGACCAGAGTTTGGTAAATTTATTTTTTTATGTAGCACGCTTCCATCAGCACATCAGAAAGTGTTCCAAGTGAGCATAAAACTTGAAGACCAATACATCTCTAATAGGTAACCAATTAGGTAACCTAATTTTGTAAAACGATGTCACATGACTAACATTATTTGTAACATCGTTCTAATTTTTTATTTATTTGTGAAGCAATTTTTTTAGCCTGAATCATATCGAACACAAATTCTCCTAGTTAGTTTTTAATTTTGTCCGATTTGTATTATAGTGTGCAGCTCATTGCAAAGATACTTCAGCTTACTTACTGATTAATTTTAGGTTAGGCAGTCTCATCTTTAAAAAACCAGCCATTTTGACTATTATAATACAACATTTATTATCGATCCTAACGGGAAAAAATCATCACTGGCAAAGTTCAAACATGTCCCACATGATACTGATATACATTTCTCAGAATAAATTATTATCTTCCAAGTTTAAATTGAATAGTTAATCAGAAATTTTAATCAGAATTATATAATGTTGTATGGTTTATTGTTTCTTAAATTTTTACATCTCTTTGTAAATAAATTGTTTATTTACTATTGTTATAACGTTAAGTAGTGAATTAATAGTAATCATTCATAAGTTGTTAGTATTCGATGATAGATTTCTTCAAAGCATTGCTCGTGTATCATTAGACAACCGAGTAAGCAATGCTATAGTTGGGAAAAGAGTACTAGGTAGTTAATAGCAGACTAGTAGATAAAGTGTTGAAATTTCATCATTTTATGTATTTTGGACATGTTTTTCGTATGCCAAACCACCGACTGCCTCATCTACCTATGTTTTGCAAAGTAGTCATAGGTTGGAAGAAAGCTAGGGGCAGCCAAGTCAAAACATTTTACAAATCCATGAAGTCACTGACAAGTGGAATGAGTCATGTTAAATTTCCTTTTCGAGAAATTTTCAAGATGGCTTTGTGGTAATTGAAGAGAACAAAAAACAGAGAACCCTACCAATATGAATTCATTGCAATATTCTCTTTACTTACGCTACCGTTTGATACAATAGAAGTTCATCACTAAATAAATATTGTTGAATGAAATTAAAAGTATACTTTATCATACATAATACAGCTATAAATCTTAAAGAGATTTTAACTAGGAATATCAAAAGATCATGCCAACCGATGTTCACGAATTACTTACTAACTGACTGAAATCTGTTGCCCCTCATTCAGTATAGGCCACCGACCAGTATTTTCTAACCTACTCTGTCCTGGGCACATGCCTCTCTAGTTCCGTCCAATTTTTGTTCATCCTTTGCATGTCTGTCTCCATTTCACGGCGTAATCTATTCTTTGATATTCCTCTTATCCTCTGACCTTGGGTATTCCAAGTGAGGGCTTGTCTGGTGAAGCAGTTGGGTGCTTTCCTCAAATATATGTCCTATATGTTTATGAATAATTGGGTTTTATTTTTTTATGCCTATCATTGTTTGGTTATTTTTTTTCTTGCCTGTAATCATTTTATTTATTTTCTGTTTATATGACAACAAGAGAGTGTGACAATATGTACTAGATCGTCTAAGAAGCTTTCTTTGGTCAACTGTTCAATTCAGATTTCAATCCTAATGGCTTCAGCACTATTTATAAGTAATGAGATTGACTTAGAGTATAAAGAGATTTGGAAATATTTTGAGTAATAACGATCATGTGTGGTAAATCTGACGTGTCTTAACCGATTTCAAATCACTTAAACGAGGTAAATTGCTAGATTCAGTAAAGACACACTGAAGTGACGAAACTAGATGACCTAAGCTTTAACTAATCAACTAGTCTTGTTTGACTAGAAAATAAGACAAGCAATTAACAACTTATTTATAGTTCTGAGTAGAGTTTATTACATATGAAAATATTAGGCAAATCTTTGTAGCACTGAAACTCCATGAACAGATGATCCCGATCGATAGTTAATTCATGTCTCTCTAAGTTCCCTATTCAAATTATATTTTGTATATGTGGGCTTTTTTTCTCCAAAATTCCTTATATGAATGAACCGATTCTTCAATCAGTTTATTGTATTACATCCAGTCTATATTTCTTATTTTGTTTAGAGTATCATTTAAGTATATCCTCCTTTTTGGTGTTTCCTTACTGTTGCTCTACTAAAGTTCCTACGTAGATTTCTTTAGCACCCCTCTCTCCACCTCCTTAATAGGAAATGTGTGAAACAGATTTCCTTTTTCCTATTTTTATCCGGTGGTTTTTTTTTTTAAAATTTATTATCTAAGTTTATTTCTACTGATACCTCCATGTTAGAGGAATGAGAACAAACAATTTCCTGCTGTTTTTTTTTGTATTTATTCTTTCAATGATCAATATTGTTCAATAGATATATGTTTTTCTGGTTCTTTACCCTATTATCTCTTTTTTACAATTTTTTCTTCTCTCATCTATTTATTGTCTGCAATATGGCATCATTTTTTTTAATAAATAGATTCAATGGTGGCAATAATCTCAATCAGAATAAGATTCTGTTTTATTTTGATTGACCTGAAGAAGGAAGAAGACTTTATTTTATTTATTGTCTTGTTGAATCATAATAATAATAATAATCATAATCATAACCATATATATATTTTAATTACTTTTGTTCTATTTCGGGTTAAATAAAATAAAATAAAATAAAATGAAGAAGAAGAAGGAGAAAAAACCAGTTAATTTTTAGCTGATCAATATCATATT